CTTAATGCTTTGTTAGGCTCAAATCCTTTTGAATTGAGAGATTGCCCACAATTTTGCACTTACTACAAAGTCCTAAGTCGAATAAATGAATGTGTTGTTTGTCTCTTTTTTAATTTAACGTTGATGTCGTGTGATGCCAGACTCGAAGGCTTTCAACTGATGAACTGTAAATAATGGCTCATTCACTTTAGAAAGCGCTAAAATATGGAGCGAACAAAAGTACGAGCTTTAAGAAGTCTCTCTTAAGTCACTTGAATTCTCTGACGTTAATTTTATTCATTTATTTTATTACTGAAGCTACTACTGCCACCACGTGTGTTGTCAAGCATTGTCAGACTGCCTATAGTTGTGTTGCCTAGTTAAATGCCAGGATTCCAAGTTTGAATAGGCTTCGCTGACATTTTTAAGTATTACAGCTAAATACAGAAAGTGAGTGTGCTGAATTTTATTGAAGCAACCCATTGCGACAAGCCGAGCATCTAATTTAGCTACCGAAACTCCTTCAGTGGCGTTGGAGTTAGTTCGGGGTGGCTGACTATCGAGGCGTAAACAGACTACTCGATCAGAAAGTTGAGGAAGAGGAAGGAGGGGACGCCTTTTGCATCTGCCTCTTTTCTATCCTGTTTAGTCTCTTACGGACCTACAAAATTTTATGCCTTTTGCAAGCAGGCGTCTGTATTCACGCACCGCTGAAGCGTGTGTTTATGTACCACCGATGGTGGAACAAAGCTACAACCTACTAGCAACGATGTTTGTTTGCGCTCGACTTGAAGCCGAAAGGTCCTCGATTGGGTAGCCTATCACCAGTGTCTACCCTTAGAGGGGATAATTATGACTCCAGTGGAACGGTTGTGTTGCCTCCTGTTCCACAAAGGTGCTTTGAAGTGGGTCGAGGAAGGCTCTGAGATTGACATTCCGCCCATTCGAGATGATATCTCATCGCCCTGTACCCAAAAGGAAAAAAAGTAACTTCCAACGAGATTCTGGTTGCATTTCCTTAACGTTCCAGCCATCGATTATTACAAAATGTTTACAGAAAAGCGTCTTCCTCTGAAAGTCACTTCCAATAGATATTCTTGAAGCGCCTCCATCATGCGTCTAACAAAGCAGTAACAATTTTTAAGGCCATTTAGTAGGCATAGGTGTAGATAGATGCGGAATTGATTGCAGTGTCTACACAAAAAACGACGAAACGCATTAGGGTTGGCAGAGGTTTTCCTAGTCATTATTTGTGCATGTGGTCCCACTGACAACTAGTGACAAATGCATATGACAAATGAATTGCCAAGTAAAACCAGTAGGAGAAGTCAACCATTGAGCTTTTTTGCTCAGCTTTTCGTGGCGACCTTTATGACAACTCGGTAAGTCCACTTAAAGTGAAAGCACCGGGAAATGGAGGATAATTTTTTCAACAAAATATGTTTATATTTTAGCTTCATCAAGGCTGCCCCGAGGACAAAAAAAGGCAGGCGAGTAGGCCATGATGTGTCATTTTGATGTAAGGAGGATCAGTGGGTTCAAAATGCGGGACTAAAAGGAAGGCATAAATAATTAGTTTTGCCTTTGGCACTTTTCCTACAGGGCGAAGAGGACACAAACAGCTCAGTCACTGTATTTGTATGACATTATGGAGGTACTGTCGATGCCTCTTGGCATTCCTACGGAATGTGAAGCTTTGACCAACTTGGGAACTGTCATTTCGCAAGCTCATCGCCCGCCGGACAGTAGGAAACAACAGATGGAAGGTGTCCTTCTCCTCCTCCTCCTCCTCCTCCCTCTCCTCCCATTTGTCAGAGCTCTTTGCTGCCAGAAGCCCGTGGGTACCAACTTGCCAACACCGTATGGGTAGACCTAACAGCTCTTTGGTGCGATTCGCTTGACAGTTGACATCTAGTGCCGACTCGCTTGTTGGCCGCATTTCTGCAGAGCGAATAATCGGACTGACTGGCAAAAGTAGATGTCATTGTCTGCTCCTTTGTAAGAAATTGCTGCAAACATTCTCAACTCCAGGGTAAGTAGAATGAGAGATTTGTTTTACTTGATCTTCGGTGAGGCACTTTGAAATGGAAGGTTTTTGACCAATCCAGACGTCGGACCTTATGATGGAGAGAATTTTAGGGCCTTCCAGCAGGTTTTTAGACGCATTTTAAAGTGCTTTTAATATTTGCTAAAATCTGTCATAAATATTGCGTCCTTTAAGAGAGTGGAGAAAATTACATCTCCACTTGGATTACCACCACCACCACCACCACCACCACCACCACCACCACCACCACCACCACCACCACCACAAAGCGATGGCTCCGCCACAACATTGCAGTCAATGAGATTGAGATTTGCTTCCAGCATTTGATACCGATTCTCCTGTAAAAAGCTCAACCACTACTTGCATGATAATTTACTGCAAATTGCTTGTCAAATTTTCCAACAAAAATTTGAATGCTCCTTTTTTTAAGAGCCTTTATAAAAGGGAAG